GTATCATATCCCCTATCATGCACCAGCCTCTGGGAAAATTGAGCGATACAATGGACTGTTAAAGACTACATTGAGAGCAATGGGGGGTGGAACCTTCAAACATTGGGATACACATTTAGCAAAAGCCACCTGGTTAGTCAACACCAGAGGATCTGCCAATCAGGGTGGCCCTGCCCAGTCAGAACTTTTACGTACTGTAGAAGGGGATAAAGTCCCTGTAGTGCACATAAAAGATACGTTAGGGAAGACAGTCTGGGTTACTCCTGCCTCAGGCAAAGGTAATCCCATTTGTGGGATTGCTTTTGCTCAAGGACCTGGGTGCACTTGGTGGGTGATGCGGAAGGATGGGGAAGTCCGATGTGTGCCTCAAGGGGATTTGATTTTAGGTGAGAATAGCCAGAATTAAACTGTATGATATTAGTTGCTATATAACCCTGCTACTGTATGTTATCCTTACTATAATTGTTATATGCTATTTCCATAGTATTATAGTAAGAATCACTTAGATCAAGCAAGAATGAACTTTGATAAAACTGAGCGAAGCACAGTAATGATGGAACCAGAACTGACTTCAACATGCAACAAGCCAACACTGCACACCATCCTCCTGCTGCGTCCAATGTCACCTGCTCGTCACACCACACTGAAGCCCGATCCTGCTCTGCTGACTGAGAGGACTTTGCAGCATCCCTCCTGCCCAGAAAGACTGGTATGACAGATGGAGCCCAAAGTCAGGGGCTAAATGAACTCAATAAATGTTTTATAAACATGGACCATAAACTAAGGGAATGATACCTGTGTGTGTGTATACTTATATCTATATATATCTATATATATCTCAAAGGACGGAAAAGGTCATGATGATTGACTAGGATGTAACAGAAAGTATGGGAACTGAACATAACATCAATGGTGTAGAATAAGGAGTGGATACTGTCCTGGTTTCAGCTGGGACAGAGTTAATTGTCTTCCTAGTAGCTGGTATACTGCTATGTTTTGGGTTCAGTAGGAGAAGAATGTTGATAACACTGATGTTTTCATTTGTTGCTAAGTAATGTTGTCATGGTTTAAGCCCAGCCAGTAACAAAGCACCATAAAGCTGCTCACTCAACTCCTCACACCCCCCTGGCCCTAGTGGGATGAGGAGAAAATATAAAGAAAAGCTTGTGGGTTGAGACAAGGACAGGGAGGGATCACTCACCACTTATGGTCACGGGCAAAAGACAGGCTCAGCTTGGGGAAGAAACCAAATCAATTTTATTTACTACCAATCAAAACAAAACAAGGATATCAGAAGTAAAACCAAACTTTAGAACACCTTCCCCTCACCTCTCCCTCCTTCCCAGTTCAACTCCACTCCCGGCTCTCTCTCCCTCCTCCCCCAGCAGCACAGGGGGACGGGGACGGGGGTTGGGGTCAGTTCCTCACCCCTTGTCTCTGCCACTCCTTCCTCCTCAGGGGGGGGACTCCTCACTCCTCCCTTGCTCCAGCCTGGGGTCCCTCCCACAGGAGACAGTCCTCCACTAACTTCTCCAATGTGGGTCCTTTCTGCGGGCTGCAGTTCTTCACAAACTGCTCCAGTGTGGGTCCTTTCCACGGGCTGCAGTCCTTCAGGCACAGCCTGCTCCAGCGCGGGCTTTCCCGCAGAGTCCCAGCCATCTTGGGGGGCATCCATCCCCCTGCTCTGGTGTGGGCTCCTCTCTCCCCGGGCTGCAGGTGGGCATCTGCTCCCCCGCTCCCCTCCGTGGGCTGGGGGGGACAGCCTGCCGCCTCCCCGCGGGCTGCGGGGGCATCCCCTCCTCTGGCACACCTCCTCCCCTCCTTCTTCACAGTATCTGCACAGGGGTTTCCTTCACATCCCACTGCCCTCCTCCGCTGCAGGTTTCCCCTCTTAAATCTGTTCTCCTAGATGCGCTAACACCTTTGCTGATGGGCTTGGCCTTGGCTAGAGGTGGGTCTGACTTGGAGCCAGGGAAGCTTCGAGCAGCTTCTCACAGGAGCCACCTCTGCAGCCCCTCCCCTGCTACCAAAACCCCACCACACAAACCCAAAACAAATATTCAGACTAAGTGAAGTATTTTTCAGGTTCTCATGCCCAGCCAGCAAGAAGGCTGGAGGGGCACAAGAAGTTGGGAGGGAACACAGCCAGGACAGCTGACCCAAAGTGGCCAGTGGGGTATTCCATACCGTGTGACATCATGCCCAATATATAAACTGGGGGGGTGGGGCTGGGGGGAATCACTGCTCAGGAACCAATGGGGTGTCGGTAGGTGGGTGGTAAGCAATTGCATTGTGCATCACTTGTATATTCTAACCCTTTTATTATTATTATTGTCATTTTATTATTGTTATTATTATTATAATTATTAGTTACTTCTTTTCTGTTCTAGTAAACTGTTCTTATCTCAACCCCAAGTTTTACTTTTTTTCCGATTCTCTCCCCCATCCCACTGCAGGGGAGTGAGTGAGCGGCTGTGTGGTGCTTAGCTGCTGGCTGGGGTTAAACCACGACAAATGCATGAGAATTTATAGAAAGTGAACTTTGATTTCACAGAAGTATTTTCCCTCAAAATTCTTTTTAATAAAAATTATATTAATTCTGCCAAATAACAGAATTGATATTGAGTGATCAGTTGCAACTCACCAATGTAGCAGAAGGAACAGTTTTAGGTTCAAAAAAACAAATACACCAAGTATATATAAATCAATATATTTGCACAGATGGTATTAGTAGCCAAAGGAGGTAGCTGCTTGATAAATAATTCAGAATAGAGTTTTATTTCTTTTTTAACTAGGCTGACTGGACATACTAAATCCAGACAAATAGAGAGGACTGAACTGTTCATTTTGGACAACATACTGATTTCTAGCATATCTGCGAAATGCAATATTTTAGGGTAAAATGGATCAGAAAAGTGGTTTTCTTACAAAATGAAAGAATCTTCTGTGTTCTTCTGAAGTACAGGAACCTAAATGGGAAATGTCCCTAAACAATCTCTTTTAATTGGCAGTAAAACAGAGAGGAATTTAATGCTTCTCAGTGGACATACTGGCTGAAACAGGGAGAGACAGGGAGGTTTTAAATATCAAAATTAATCCTAATCTCTTGAGCAGCAGTGAAGATATTCCTAAAGGTCTTGGCAGAAAGCACAAAGGGGAAGAAAACACCAAAATTCAAGTGCTGTTTTTGTTGATTTGTCTGTTTCAAGAAACAGACTACAATGAATTCCTCCAGACTAGCAGAGGGGAGAGAGGGAGCAGAAAAACTCTCCCTTAAGTGTCCATTGCGGCTGGATTACTCAGGCTGTGGCATGTTTCATGCTGAGGAGGAAGCATGGGGCAATTCATATCTTGTTCTCCTGCCATCCATGGGCATTCTTTCCAAACTTGTACACCAGCCTTCTGTCCACTCGTTCCAAAATGCCAGTTTTATAATAGTAACTGGGGGGTGGGGGGAGAGAAAAGAAACAATGGAGAAAGTAGTAGTAGAATTCACATTAGAGGAGTATTTTATATGGACCTCATGGCAGCAGAACAGTACATGAGGCATTGTGTTCTTTAGAGTCAGAATGCTCCTCTCTTTCTGTTAAATTGCTCTTGAGACTTTGAAGAGCTTTAAACTTTCCCACATGCCTTGGAGTATGCCTTCCACTCTTTGAAAGGTACAAGAATTACAAAGAAATGTGTTCTTTGGTTGGTTGTATTTTTTCCCTAAGGTTACCACAGTTCAGAAGAAACCATCAGTGTTACTGCTACAGCAAGAAGAGTCACTTTGTGGGGGTCATTTGGCAAACATAGTCTAAAATTCTCAACTGAGGTAAAGTATGATAGCTTTGTTTTCATCAATAGAGTTACAAGTCTGTACCAGTTTACACTTAGCCTTATGATATTGTTTAGATGCAAAGGAGACTGGGTGTTATCTCATGACCTATAGAAAAAACATGAAGAAAATAACCAGACACTCTGCCACCCAGCCACTCCCCTCCTCCCCCACACACCTGAGTTTTCAGAATAGTTATGAAATACGAATGATGAGGTAGAAATCAACTGAAATGAGGGGTCCTGCTGCCTGTTAACTCACCGGAGAGCTCTGCTCAGTTTTTCATATGTCATTCTGTCATTTTTCTTCTTTTGTCCCCACATCTTTGCCAGAGCTTCTGATTTAACAACCCGAAAAATGCCTTCTCCCCTGTCTTCCCATTCCAGGATGCCACCATTTTTTTCAGGAGAAAGGAGCAGATCTCTTACAAATTCCCACAAATGAGAATTCTGCAGGTCTTGAATGGGCAGAAGACAGCTATTTAGTATATGTTTTCTTACTTGTGCCAAAGTACTAAGGCAGAATTATATTTACCGTATATTTTGTTATTGGATTGTCAACCCCACAAACCAATTGCACTTATTTCAATTTAACTTTCAAAATTCTAGTGCATTGCATCTCTCTAACTGGCTTCAAATGCTCCAGAAAAAAATTAATCAGGGTCATCAAACACCTGTGATGCTAGAACCTGGTTTGTTTTTTTTTTTTACTCCAGAAACTAGTGAATGTTACTGTCTTGCAAGTTTATGTCATTCATAGTTTCTGTTCCACTGATCATGCATGACTTCAACAAGTATTTAACTTGATGTTTTAAAAGCATTTTTTAAGTTCAAAGTGGTTTAAGTGAAAGATTGTAACAAACATTGGTTTGCCTGAAAATGAGACAATATGAGAAGTTGCAAAGCCTATTTCCCAGAATTGCTAGACTCTTCTCTGTTATTTCAACTGAGTTCAAATTTGTTTGAGCATTAGAAGTGCTATAAATAGTGTGATTCTACTAAAAAAAGCCAGTAGAGCTGTTATATGCAGCTATTGCCTTAACTTCAGATTAGTTACTAGCTAATCAAGGTGCTGGAGGTTAAAGGAATGTTCAATCCCAGTGTTGACCGCAAGCATTTAAAAGTCCTGAGAGCAACATAAGAATAATGGCAATTATAAAAATACCTGAGGTTTCTTATTTGTTTTTCTGCATTTAGAGCCTTTAGGTTATTTTCAGCTTATGTTTTTCGAGTAGCTTTGCCACTAAGATAGTTAGAAGCGCTTAAAAAGGTAAACAGAAAAGGAAATGTGGCTTTAAGAAAAATGCCAAGTACCTCAAGTCTCATGATAAAATCGTGAGAGCTGGCAGTACTTAAAAGCTAAACCTCAGTACAATTTTGTTTGTGGTGTCATTAAAGTTTCTTTTGATAACCACATGGAGCTGGAGAATTAGAGCAACACAGCCTGTGTAATCTTAACTCCAGTTTTGAGTTTCTGATATGTACTTACTTGTTCTACCATGACTGTGACATTCTTGGCCATTGATGCTACCTGCCCTCACGCATGCCTTATCACAGGCTGGGACTGAACTGCAGAGTAACGTGAGAAGTGAAGAAGGAACTCTTGAGTCTGGTGGCAACTTGGTCAAAAGGTCACCTATTCAAATGCCATGCAACATTAAGTCAAAGTGGGACTGTGAGCTACTAACTTTATCTCTTTAATAAAAGCTCTAGCACAAAGGTAAACCCAAGTGAATAATTAACATGCAATTGTATGGATTGCATCACAACAAAACAGGAAATTTGCTCTGTTCAAAATACTTGGATTTTGTAGACATGTGGAATTCGGCACGTGGTGTGCATGGATGAAATGTACCCCTTTGTGATGTGCAGCCTGAAGGTTTCTTGGCTTAGTGCTGTGCAGTGCTTCTAAAAAGGCAAAACTGCCTCAGTAGACAACATGCTTGCAGAAGTGACCAACACTTCAACAGTGTCTGTCTCAATATTGTAGTGGCACAGAGAGCAATTAGAAGAGGATAATGAATGACTGCAACTGGAAGGATTATCAAAGTCTGCTAATAACACTTGTATGCAATCACAGAATCATAGAACAGTTTGGGTCAGAAGGGACCTCTCAAGGTCATCTAGTCCAACCCCTCTGCAATGAGCAGGGACATTTTCAACTAGATCAGGTTGCTCAGAGCCCCGTCCAACCTGACCTTGAACGTTTCCAGGAATGGGTTATCTACCACCTCTCTGGGCAACCTCTTCCAGTGTTTCACCACTCTAGTGACTACAAAAAAATTATATCTGCTTGGAACACAGCTAGTGAGAAGGGTGACCAGTGAAATCCTGCGAAAGTGATTACAAAGTGAACACCCACAAATTCATTTCACTGGATAAACAGTAGTGGGCTAAAAATAACAAAATAGGGGAACTTTTGTGAAGATGGACTGCAGTTTTATAATCTTATATCTAATTCTGTTTATGTTTCTAAAAGCTGGCCTCCAAGAGTTTATTTTGCTGCATGTGAAACCATAATATTCACAAAAAGATGGAAGCAAGATGGCTATGTACATGGAGGGCTATCTGAAGGGCTTATGCTTTCAGTTATGAAGGTTTCATAGCATATTCAGCGTCTGTTGCTGGCCCAAAAGAGCATCAACTAGAATTGGTAAAATGGTATTCTGGAATATGTTTTTTTCTGACTTTTCTTTTCACTGGAGTCTTTCATGTCAATGAGTTTGTTCAGTATTCTTTTATTGGCTGAAGGGTTTGACCAAGGGAGTATCCCACATTGCCTAAATCTTAATGTGGAATGCAGGTAAATCCAGCCAGAAGCACTAATAACCCAGAGCTCATTGAGAGTTATTAGATTATTAGGGCTGGTTGACGGTCAGAACTGAGTGATTACAGAATATTCTGATTGTGCTTAGACATAGTCAGACACCTGGTATTTTGCTAACTTTACCTATTTGCCTCCTCAGCAGATAAATAGCAAGCTTGGCTGTGTTTAGGATCAACAGGATCTGTATTTCTGACTGTATGTTAGTCCACCAGCTGTACCATCCCCCACAAAAATGCAAAGTATTCTCATGGAGAAAGAATGCCCTTTTGGACTCTATGCACAAAAGAAGAGCTTTGCTCTACTCAGTGCCTGGCTTGCAGCCTCAGTGAATGTACAAATGCTCCTGGGATCCTGCTTTCTTTTAAAATAACAGTTCAGAAATGTTGGGATGTCTGCTAATCTTTACTTCTCTGCATACTGCAGGTATTTGAGGAAAAACATTAGAGAAGAAGTAAATGGCCTGGATTTTTTTCATTTTTAGAAATCTCTTGAACTGCTAAATATTGCTAATCTTTGAATACAGTGTGTTTTCCATTGAACGGAGCTTATTAGGTACAAACAAGTTTACTTACAGTCTTTGTTGGATAGCTTTGTTTCTTCTGCATCAGTAAAAAAGGAAATGCCTAAAAGGGAAAAATATAACCCAATGATCAGTTCTTTTCTTCACAAGAATAACTTCTGAACTGAAATTTAAAGCTAAGTCCTGGCCTTTTGTGTCGTTGCTTGTGAATATAGCTCAGAACAGAAGTTGTAGAAAATGCAGACTATAAAACTATTAAATAATTTTTCAACATTGCTGCTGAAATGATTTGTCCCTCCCACTGCTCTGACTACATCTGTGGGGATTTTTTAAACTTTGGGGTTTTTTTCTTACCCTTTGCATCGTTTCTATATGTCTCTATTCACATGATTTATGTGTACTAAGTGTCCTTTCCCTCTGGTCCCTTTGCATTTGTTTTTTGCTGTCATCTATATCACAGTTTCTCTCCCTTTCTTTACACTTATATTAGTCCTTTCTCATTCAGTCCCTAGTCCCTTTAAAACTAGAGCTGCAGTCTTCCCTCCCTCCTTCCTCTAAGGAAAAAACATCTCTACTGCTGGAAATCAGGTCTTCACAGGGCTCAAACTTACCTGCTTTAGTAGCACGTTATCAGCTTTTAAAGCAGTCATTACATTCACAACACATAAATAAATGTATTGCACATACAAATGTGCATTCAAGGCACTTAAATCATGTTGTGAGTCTGGCATGCAAAACTGGGAAAAGCTAGAATTAAGCCTGCTTGTGCAGCCATAGTTTGGTCCATTGCTTAAGTATGTTGTGGCAAGGTCTTGCATTACTGGACCACATACTGCCTTTCCTCACAGGCTTTATGCAGTTCTTAAAGGTAGATATGCATGATCTGTTGTATTTCATTTATCCCCAATTCGATCTCTGCACTGACTATAATAAATTAATTTTCTTAATGAGGTTTTCTTCCCAGCTCTGTATTCTTTAGTTCCCTTAATAACTTCCTTATCTTCTGCATTTAATAATCTCCTCCTGAATGGCCTGACATGATACATGAACACTGGGTGGAAGACAGAGATGGCTGTCAGTCCCACAGGAGAGCAGTGCCAACTTAAAACACAGGGTTGCTTTGTTCTTCGGCAGCCTCTAGTCTTGTTCACCTCTCACAGTCTAAGTCACTGCAAAACCCTACTTCATTTTGATAAGGCTTATCCACATGTTTTCTTATGTACTGCCTCGTCTCCCGTCTTCCCAGTCTCTCAATGCTCTTTCAGCCTGCTGCACCCCACCGTGTGCCCAGGTCACCCTCTGCTGCTGCCTTCGCCCTTTCTGGTCCTTGTACCTTGCCAGCTGCTATCCGCACTGGGCAGCTGAGAGGGGGGTAGCAGACCAGCGAAGGATGGCTAAGCTCTAGCACATTGTGACCCAGCAGCTGCTCACCATCGGGAGCTGCTGGCAGTGTCAGCTCCCACAGGGCCCTCCAGGACTTGCATGCCTAAGCCTTTCATCTTCTTCCAGCAGCCCTATGGCTCTAGTTTGGTCAAATACCCCCCTAAGCCAGAGAAGTCTTGAGCCATTGAGGGCTCCAAGTAGCTCCTCAGTTTCTCATTGCTAGGGCATAGGGAAATGACCTGAATTTCCCTGCTTAGTGGAAACTCTTTTGCTCATATCATCATCATGGACTCTGGTAGAATTACCCTAGCTTGGTGTACACACTAGTTAATCTTTGGGAAGTAGTGAGTATAGAGAAAAGGTGTCTGCAGCAGAGATCGCACTTTTATTTCACCTAGACAAAACTGTCAATAACTTAGTCTTTGAATCTAAATTCATTTAGGCAGTAACAAACCTTCCCAGACAAGGTTGAAAATAGTAAATTAAAATAGTTTCTGTTCGAGAGCATTGTTAAGCATGCTACTAATGAGGTGGATTATCAGTGCATACTGCACTGATAATAACCCCATCAAACAAAACTTCTTGCTTACTTTTTAAGAAGCAGAGCAACCTTCACTACTTTGAGTTACAGGAATAACAATGTATTCTGTCTTTCTATATCCAGTCAGGATGTAAAGCTCTCTCAGATCATGCAGGTTGACCAGTTTCAGTAGACAGGCCAAGGAGAGACAAGTACTGGGGGTCTGTTCAGAGATTTGAGTGGATTGCAGAGACGAGCCTGGTCTGCATGTGATTGTGAGGCCCAAAGTCGCATTGAGCTTGTCTTCTGCCTGCCATACTTCTGTGTACTCCTCAACACAGCATCTAAGCAGCCTTGGTATTTTGCCTTTCTTCAGCGCTCAAGGCTGTGGATCCCACATTTTCTGTTAGCATGAAATTCGCACAAAAAATGCAACTCTTTTTGTTTTGTGTTTGATTTCTGGAACACTAACCGTGCATCCTGATATTCTGTAAGATGAAATACAAGTATTCTCCATAAATGCCTGCAGCCTCTAGGAACTCTTCCTGGGTCATGTTGCACAACTGTAAGCCGTTGATATTAAAGTGGGAAAAGGAAATGCAGTTGGCATCTAGCTTGTACTGGTCACAGCAAAACTGCAACCATTCACAGACATTGTGCTTACTCCAGTATTCCGGGTGGATGGATGTCCAGAAAGTATAAGAATCTGCAACATATTTGATAAGAAAGAGGAACATTGCAATGTAGAACTCATGGTGCACTTCATTTTAATAAGCATATTTCAAGCAAAACTAATCCCTCCTCCTTCTTCTGTAGTCTTCCTTCCTTATTCCTCTAGAACACATCAAGCCCTGCCTTTTGCATTTTTCTGTCTCCTATTGTCACAGCCTTTTGTATTTCAGGTATTCATATTAATTGTGTGAGACAATTCAAGAGAAAGTTCTTCCATGCTGTTGTGGTTCAACCCCGGCCAGCAACTAAGCACCACGCAGCCGCTCACTCACTCACTCCCCTGCAGTGGGATGGGGGAGAGAATCGGAAAAAAAGTAAATCTCGTGGGCTGAGATAAGAACAATTTAACAGAAAAGGAAGGAAGAAACTAATAATTATAATAATAACAATAATAAAATGACAATAATAATAATAATAATGAAAAATAGGATTGGAATATACAAGTGATGCACAATGCAATTGCTTACCACCCACCTACCGACGCCCCGTTGGTTCCCAAGCAGTGATTCCCCCCAGCCCCACCCCCCCAGTTCATATACCGGGCATGATGTTACATGGTATAGAATACCCCATTGGACAGTTTGGATCAGCTGTCCTGGCTGTGTCCCCTCCCAACTTCTTGTGCCCCTCCAGCCTTCTTGCTGGCTGGGCATGAGAATCTGAAAAATCCTTCACTTAGTCTGAACACTACCTAACAACAATTAAAAACGTCAGTGTGTTATTAACATTCTTCTCAAACTGAACCCAAAACTTAGCACTGTATCAGCTAGTAGGAAGACAATTAACTCTATCCCAGTCAAAACCAGGACACATGGGGAAAAAAAAAAGGGAAAATGCACCTCTTAAAACAGCAATTCAGAAAAATTAAAAAAGGTCAGAATACAGAATTTGTGAGAACTTAGCATTCTGCAATAAAAAGGAGTGATGCATACCTAGACTAAAACAACCTCAGGCCTCAGATGTGAAAGTACTCTCATTCAAACACACCTAGCTATACTCTGTGGTAGATGGGTAAATACCATGAATTTATTATTCTTTTTCTTATAATTCCAGCAAGTTCTTTCACTCCTTTCATCTAAAATAATGTTGTTAATGTCATCAGAGGGAATACTTTTTTGTTAGATTAGAAACTGAAAAATGTATTTCTCTTAACACATTTATCACTGGAGAAACATTTCTGACAGATAAAACGAAGAGTGGAAGAGCTTCTAAGTACATCTGCCAGGCAGTTGTAACCTAAAACTACTTTGCCAATTAAATGCCCAATTTTTTAACAGGCTTCTCTCCTCAGCAATGCAGTTACCAGGAAAATGTGTAGAAATAAGTATATATTTGCAGTAAAAATTTCTTTTTTTTTCCTCAAAAAACATATTTTAGCTATGACTGATGTAAAATCTAGGCCTGGTATGATAGACCTATATGCTGCAGCTAACAAGCATAACCTGTGACTCAAACACTTTTTTCTCTAGAATCGAAACACAGGCTTCTGTTATTGAAGCTGGTTTGGCTTATATTGATGAGCACACACTTTAAAAAGCTCTGCTTTTTCTTTCTGTGAGCTAGACTGCTACACGCATGCGAAGGTCTAATCTTGCAGTCATCTTCTGTTGGATGTCTGTGCATATGCAGCTACCTTTTTTGGGGTGATTGGAAGATTTATAGGCAATGGCAAGAATATGTCCTTTCTGTATCCATTCAGTTACACTTAGGGAAAACAGAATTATAGTCTGCCTCTTGGAACGATTATTTTTGTTCATTCATTACTCATTTTCCTTCTATTATATTAAACCTTTAAAAGATGATTAGTAATTTCTTTCAAGTAAGATTCTTAAGCAGTTACAGGAATCCCCACCTTGAGAGATTATTGCTTTAGGAGCTTTAAGGATTCTAAATTGATTTTGAATATATTATCTGTAATATTTATTACATCACTGGAGTGGCACAGATACAGAACAGTAAATAGCAATAGAAAGGCAATCAAATGTAAATGAGAGTAGTGTAAAGAAATCAGAAAAGCCTTAGTTTATTTTCACATCTCGCAGCATCTTACAGACTTATATTTCACAGTTTATTAGTCCAGTCATCCATTATTATTTCATTTTCAAATGAATCCTGAACATTTGATTTTAGGCATTGCTTATATGAAATTGTAATTCAAAATAGGTTATGATAGCACTGCAAGCCAAGTGAATTGTGTCTGTCGTTTGTCTAGACAGGAAGTTCAGACTGCAAAATGATGCAAATAGGCTGGATGAGTTTCCATAGTAAAATTAATTCAAAGGGTTTGAAATTGTGACAGAATAACTGAAATATGGCTTTTGCATCCTACATGGCTTCTGTAAAGTAATTAATACTTCTAATTATAAGTCCTAAAAGTTTACAGAGGAATTTGTGGTTGCTTTCATGAATCATTCCCATGCTGTAAATATCTTAATATGTATGCACATACAGAATTAATGTAATACGGAATGTTGTGTTTTAAATCCTGAGATGTTACTGTGACATCCTAGCAAAGCCATGAGGTGTTCAGAAGCTCTGGGTCTGGCTTTTGGGACGCATACCTTGAGGATATTTGAATGTCAGATTTTATTCATCTCCTTATTTAAAAGGAAAATCAGATGGGCTTGACATTCGATCAGCTTTATGAGCCCTCCAGACTGCACACACCTGGCTATGTCAAAGTCTGAAGGATTCCTTGGGGGAGAATGGGATTGCTGGGAGCACCAGGCTCACAAGGCTTCTGCCAGGAAGGAGAAAAAAGCTTTAAAATTAGGCTTGAGCTCTACAGGAATCCCAACTTCAGAGGCTGCTCAAGAAAAGCAGAAGGCTGCATCGATCCCTTTCTGAACCAGGCAAACTTTTTTTTTTTAATCCTCTGCCAACAGCCTCCAGTCCCCCTTAGGAAAACTGGAACATCACCACATCCTCAGCTAGATGGATTTATTGGCAGAGGGGCCTTCATCCACAGGGTGTGAATCCAGCCCTGTGCTGCTGCAGCAAACCAGCCCAGACCTTTTCACTGTATCTGTGTGCAATACACAACCAAGTGACAAGGTCATGGCTTTGATTTCTAACTACAACAGTGTTGGAGTGCTCATTTTTTTCTATCTTAAGGCAACATGAAAGAAAAGCAGAACTATTTATTCTGCCATTCCACAGGTACAGTGAATAGCCTTGAAATATCTTGGCCATTGGGCTTGAAACTTTGACCTGATTGTGATAAATACCAGCTTTGCTGGCAATATTTATATTGTCATATAAATGGCACAGCATGTTTCTTTGATGGAGCAGCACTCATCTGGTCCAGTTTCCTTGTTTGCTTTTGCTTTGGAAAGGCTCAGAATATTTTATTATTTTTTTTAATATTCCAGGCCCCCCTGAAGCACTGTTGTATATCATGAGCATTTAAAAGGTGTTGACACCGAGACCTCACCTTTTATTTCTCATATCAAAGTTAAGCATTCAGGGAGCTTTCCCATTTCTAAATGATGGACATGACTGAGGTATTATGCCACTGGGGAAGAAAGGATGGGCCAAAGACAAAGGCTCTATGAAAGATGTTCAGGTTTTCTTTTAAAGAAAAAGAAAGGAGCAGGTAGAATTTCATACCACTGTACAAAAACATAAGGGCAAAACCTATGCAATAAGATAAGGTAGGGGCCAGTAGATTGCCCAGTGGCAGGAACATGCTAGAACTGTGCCTAAAACTACATCTTGAGGACAGGGAGGAGGATACCTGGTAGGATGATGGTGGGTAGCTGGGGGTAGAGAAGAAAGCACAGAATTCAGACCTTGCCCTTTCCACCATTTCAAGGTGATTTCCACTGGCTGTTCAGCTGCATTGACTATCTTATTGTACTGCTCCTTAATCCGGGGTATTTAAATCCTTTATGTGCTGGGCAGTGTCCAGCCCTCAGGGAATGGCATTTGTTAGCATAATCTTCCCAGACTGCACAGGTTGTTTCAGTCAATAAATAGACTTGATTCATGTCCCTTAGCTAAGGTGATGTTGCTGAAATGAGTCTCCTGCCTTGTGGGGGTTGTGGTTTTATCAGTGGTGACAGCAAAGCTGTGGAAGGCAGTAAGTCTCAAGTAGGTTCAGGAACACAGGCCAAATAAAAGACGGCTGTCCAGATTTTCCTGGGATGCACTGATTTCTGCATGGCATATGCAGGCAAGTTAATATAGTATGTGTGCTTACAATGGGGGGAAATACTGCTATCAGCCATAACAAAACTGGACGGTCTGTTTAGATGTATCCCAGTTTTAATATATGCCAGGCAGATCATTCCTAGGTAATATAGCCCACCTTTTTGTCAGTTGGAGAAGACAGATTTCATTTAGGCATAATGTTTTAAGTTTTGGAGCTAAAATTTCCATGTATTTTCTGTATTATTTTCCCTTTTTCACCCAGTGTCGGAAAATAGAAGATATGAAAATGACACAATGTTTTTAGTGTCACAGATTTTAAATTCCACCACTTTGTATTATTAAAAAAAAAAAAGCCTCCAAATATAAATCATGATATATTCTGATTGCCAGAAAATAAAAACATTTACATGACCTATGTGGGAACCGTAAAGGCAAACTAACCCTATAGTTTGCATAGGAACATGGAGATGGTTGCACTGTCCCAGACTGAAGTCCCTCTAAGCCAGGGTCCTGCCTCTGGTTGGGTTTGCTGGAAAAAATACACTTTTTTTGAGAAAATATTGTATAAACTTACTTTGGGCTCATACATCATAACACTAGTACTCTTTCTAGCACAGGAGCTGAGCCCAGCGATAGCTTGTAAATGAGTAGTCTTCAGCTGTTTCTTTCTAGGCGGTCTTGCCATCCTTTTTTCATTTGTTTAACCTTGAGCTTCTACTTTGTTCCTAGCAAGTACAAAACAGGTTTTCAAAAGACACAGGGATCACAGTCCTTAAGCCTATTACTGTCACCAGAAGAAAGTGTAGGTTTAATGTTATTACACTGATCTACATTCTTCTCTGGCTTCAGAGAAAAGTACTTACTTTTCTGTTCAAGGGCTGCTTGTGCAATGCTGGTGGCACTGCAGTAGTGGTTTTGTTTGTGTGTGCAATGTATTCCTTGGCTACTGTGGAAGAAATTATAAGAGAACTCACAGGTTGGTTTAAATTTGACTTAGAAGAGAAATTATTGTAACCATAAAGGACTCCGGGAAAGCCTAAAAGCATCAAAAATTGAGCAATAGAAAACATATGGAAGAAGAAGCATAGCTCCTACCCTGGTCAGAAAAGGCTAATTATTTCCTCAGCTCAGCTTTGCTTAGCAAGAGGCAGTCTGACCTGATCGTTGGACAAAGTTGCGTGTCTTAAGAGCTGAGGGACATTTGCACTTAGCTACAAGTGGAGTTCAGTTTAACATAATTGCTGGGGTATAGAAGCTGCACCACTGTTCACCTGGATGAATTCAGAGCTAAGCAGCTATAGAGTCACAGACTTTATACTGTTAACAAGTAACAGACTGCAGTAAAGCTATAAATTGTGAAAATGCCTCGGATGGGCTGTTTTGCCTTTGGCAAATGCTGATCTGCTGATATCAGAAGTTCCCTTGGGATTATTTCAATTTCAGTGTTGTGGTCTTTGCGTTTGGGGTTTTTTGTTGTTGTTGTTTAAGAAAGTGGAAGGATATTGAATAACAGGCAAATCTATAATAAAAATCAAGGCAAAAGAAGAATTATTCTGACTGATCCAAAATTAACTTTAAATTGAATCACATCAGATATTTACAAATGCATGTTTAAATTTTAAAACAGAATACTTGCTGTGATTTCAAATGAAATTTAGGATTGTGTTGTAAGTTGGAAGGAAAACTAATATTAAAACAATATGATTATAAAAAAAAAATTCAATCCCTGCAGGGCTTTAAATACAGCCATTTAGTTGAAGCAAGAAGATTTATATTCTACCTCATATGTCAAACTTAGCAATATAGAAACAAAACACTATGTCCTCAGTGGTCATGGAATAGCACCATCAGAAGCCGCATAGAAAGTTCTGTTCTTTATTACTCAAACTGTGCCTTGGCAGGAATGTTTTTTCTGTAAGACCAGGAGTGTTCTCATGTAAAAGGACAAAAATAGCTTTGGAAGAGAAAAATGTTGCACAAAACCATAATTTTTTCCCAGTTCTCACCAAAAGTTTGGCTCAGTAACATGAGTGGCTTGTACTACGTTTCTTTTCAGAGTCTGTTGAATGATTCAGCCTGAGTGCAGAGAAGACTATCAAGACTGTTTAGTAATTTAAACCAGCTGTTGAGAAGGGAGATTTCTAAGAAGTAACACTTACTTAAGTTTCCAAACAGGGACCTAGCCAGACACCAGGACATTTTGAATGAATTCCTTCAGAGCTGGGATCCCGACATAAGATGCATGGCCTGGTGAAGGGTAGGGCTTCCGTATACACAGTTTGAGGATTGCATGCTTAACGTTGGCAAATTCTGCAATGGGGGACTCCTGCATTATTATGGATTAATTTCTACAGCCATACAGTTCTCTGGTGGCTTTCAGAATCCTAGTTTTTGCCAGCTCAGTGTGTATTTATCTGGTCACTGCTATTCCTTACAAAGTTGCAGAGCATTTGAGGAACTCTAAATCTCCCAAATTAAATTACTCTTCCATTATATAGCTGAAGTGCTGTGTTGTGAGAATGTTTTCAGCTACGAATGCTGGATTTCAAGCAGATGGGGTAAACAAAAGGAGTCAAGAATCTGAGGCCACAGTTGTGCTGCCCCTCTTAATGAACCATGCTTTGGAACTTTGGAAGTTCCTGCTTGCATTAGGTGTATCATCTTTTCAAATGAGGGGAAAGCATCAGTTGAACACAATGCATAACAGAACTAAAGCTGCTACTTGTTACTACTCTTCCTGTGCACCTTTATCTTGCATGACTGGTGATATGCTTGAAAAGGTCAGTAAGACTAGAAAACAGAATGCATATAATAGAAGGCTCAGCAGCAGGTTCAGAATCCATAGCCTGTTTGCTGTATGATTAGTCTTGAATGAGTTAAATCCAAATCACCCTTGGATTTTTGACATTGTATGTTTTTTTCTATTGGAGTCTATCTACATACCTTTCTGATGATCACAGGTGGCATAGTCATCTTTGGTTGTACCAGATAACTCTGTCCAAGACATCAGGGGATCACAAACCATTGTGTTTGACAGAAACGTGCTCTGAGTTACTGACTCCAGCATCACCTTAAGATATTAATACATTAGTTGAAGATGAAAAGATAATATTAAGCACCAAAGTTATAAGGCTACAGGCATTATTCCCTTGCTGTGTTTGTATAGATCTATGAGGTGCCATCACCCACCATCACCTAAACTTCAGCTGAAGCTAATGATGATCTTCTGAAAACTGCAAATAGCTGTGTATACTGAGGAAATGTGAAGGATTCAGAAGTTTTCATGGATAGATTGCACAACTGAAAGAAAACTGTGATCTTAGTCTAAATAAAGCAACGATGAGGTATGGAACATGGAACATGGAAACATTTGGGATGCTCCTGAAATCCTTTGATATACTGGAATTCATATACAGGGTAAGGTAATATTTCAAGAACATCACATTTCCACCTAATCATACCGTTATGAATAGAACATATCAGAATATAAACTATTAATCATTTTAGTCAATATGGTCACGAAGTCTATTCTCTATGCATTTCTGCAAAATAATTTAGTGTAGAATACCTCATAGATGTATATATGTGTGTAATTGTGCTTTTAGATGAACACCATATATTCAGTGAGCAATATAGAATTTTACAGTATTCATACAAAGTGATCCATATGAATTTACCAGGTCCTGTCTCAGATATAAGAGGATCACCAGAATTTAAGTTTGTGATGGTCCCAATCTGATTTTTTTATTCTTCTGACTGAGCGGCCCACACAGAGAAAGGTTCCCTATATCACATCTACTTACAAACAATTTAGAAAGTCAAAACAGTGGCATTTTTATCAGTTCCGAGTTGCTGCAGAATGTAATCCAAATCTAAATAAGTACAAAATACTTATCTAATTTTCTTTCTGTATTTGCTTTAATGCTTAATTCCAGTACTTTAATAAGATGATGCTGGCTTATTATGCACAGAATTCTGAAGTTCACAGGGCCAGGTAGAAAGAGGTCAACCATTCTTTACTACAGTGCAAGTGTATTGACCCAAGTATCTCTGGAAAAACAACAAATTAGAGACCTACTCACACTTACAATCTATGCAAAAGAAAATAATTATTTACCACAAAGGAAAAAAAAATTGTGGCCCTGTTGAAATCAATGGGAATTCTTTCAACAGAAGAATTTCACAACTCATTAGTCACCAAAGGGTGGCAGGACAGAGACATGCAGAAGAGCTGGACAGAATGTCACAGAAGAACAGGGAGAACTACAAGTCACTGACAGCTCACTTCTGTAATGACTGGACTTTGCCAGAGATGTACCTACACCTGTATATTAGATGATTCTAGTTAGCATCTCTGAAAAAGGTAGAGACCTCCAGGACATATGTGGTGACACTGATCTTCCCAGCCATACCCTCTGCAGCCAGCATATTCCTGTTCCTCTAACAGTCATCCCCCCAGTGCAAGGAGCAGCCCACTGTGAGTAAACCCTTGTACCAACTCAGCAGGCAGAAATAAACTTCTGAAAGTCAATTGCCATCTTGGAAAGAATAGAATATCTCTGCAGATCATTGGAGAGATGTTTTAAGAATGATTGCAAAGATAACCTCTTCAGAGTATCTCCCCCACTCTCTATACCTGCCACCCCATATGTAAGATTTCCCACAGATAAATGTCTGGAATAAAATCGCAGTCCTACTCAAGACAGAGAGAATTTTCCCATCAAATTCATCAAGCACAGAATTTCACAGTTTATTTCTACTAGCTGTCAGGAGATAATAATTTCTGTCTATCTGACAGTTTCACAAGATTAAGAGCTACTTCTTACTAGAAAAGAAAATGAAAAAAGGTGAGAGAAAGGTGAGTTCACATTCTCTTTGCAGTACAAAAAATTTCTGTTGACTTTTTTTTTTAGGCTAGTGGTTTTAGTGAAAAAAACAAACAAGCAAACAAACAAAAAACCCCCAAACATTTCAAAATGCTCATGGCTTAGATAAAAGAATATGTTACCTTGCAAGATTATAATCCTTCCTCCACCAGGGTAAGATTTAGCTAGAAAAGTAAGAAGTTATTAATATTTGCATCTTTGCTATCCAAATGGCAATGACAGATTAGTAGATTTAGTGCCTTGCTTGTGAATTTTCATGATTTTTTGAATGTGGAAAGCAGATTTGCTCAAGGGGAAATGATACCTGGGAAGATGGGTGAACTGTTACAAGCAAAGAGGGGTGTGAAATAAAGCCGAAGCCATTGGATTTGGAAAAATTCAGAACTAGGCACATGCTTGAGTTTGTATTTTATTATGAGGAAAACTTATTTCTCCAAGCTGGGCAACTAATTTTGTGAAGTGGAATGGCAGCCTCACCCCCTGCTGAGGACTAGACCCAATCTTGCAGGTGTGGGGCAAAGCTGCCAGCTTCAAATCCTACCAACAGGCTTGACCACATGTTGTGACAGGCAGGAAAAGCCGTTTGGGAAGGAAAAAAAATCCTGGTTTATCCATATGCAGTTTATACTGCTGCTCCCATATAGAGCTATACATGTTCAAGAAAATGATGTTAATTATTAATATCATTAGCAAAGATAATCTCTTTTCAAATATTTTATGCAAACAGGATATTGATTTGGGTCACATTGAATAGTATTTCACTATTAGCTGGTGCTGCTTATGTACACACATACTTATCTGCTTAAATACACTTTGGGGACATAGAAAGGGGAAGAGGCAGACAGGTTTTTTTAAACAACTGGAGACCTTTACAGCTCTTGTTTTTACTCCAGTTGGTGCTGGGTTTGAAGAAGCTATTAATTAACTGTCACATTACAAACAATCTCTTTTGATTTAGTAAGACAGGCCTAGACTGTTAATTTATTAAAAAGTATTTTTTGAGGCTCATGCTTGTCTCTGCCATTAATTCATTAAACCAAAGTCAATTGTTTATCACTGAGACAACTGGTGATGCACAAATGAGAAAGGCAGGCAGTACATCAGTTGGGTGCCTGATAAAATCATCACAGCAAACCCCCTTTGACAGCCTACAGCTCTTTTAAAAACAATTACTTCAATAAAGAAATGGAGCTTACTTGTAGGTAGGTGATTACTCCTGATGCAGCAGTTAGGTCCAGAAGTAGGTCTTGGGAGCAAGGGGGAGCAGCAGGCTTTAACAGCAGCACAGCCCAGCACTTTGGAAATAAAGCCACTTGCAGGACTGTGATACATGGAACACCTTACAGACAGGTTCGTTTGGTTTTTCAAGTTCTTATACACACCCCTTTTGATGACAGTGATAATATATAGTACAACATAGCCCAGGGATCGGGGAGAAACATTCTCAAGTGCAGAAAATTTACCTTTATCCAGTATTGTTTTTTCCCTTTTTCTCTGAAAAGTGTTGATTTACATAAGTGTGACTCTTGGACCACCTTAAGCAAACCTAGTATGCTTAAGCACTTGAACTAAGGAGACTCTCACTCACTCTTTCTTTCATGATCTTAGCATGTAAGAAGGGCTATCACATTTTGTTCAGAGCTCTCAAAACCTAGGAAGCAGCATTCTCACCATTTGCATCTGGCAAAGACCAGGATGCAGAGAATGCCTGGCTTAAAGTCATGCAGCAAACCACCGTGGGTGTTAGAGAAAGGACAGCGCTCACCTGATGTCAGGCAACATCCCTGTCTGGCCAAGCACAGCGCCTCTGAGGGCCACAAAAACCTGCTGGGTTCTAGCCCAGGTGCAGCTGCCTTTAGGTCTGAAATGACTGTAAAGTGATTTGAATGTTCATGGATAGGATGCTTGGTATTATTAGATGCCACAGATCAGAGGCACTGGCAGTGGAGAGAATGAGTTGGAGAATGAAATGAGTACATCTAACATAAAATGATGTTTCTTTCTAATATAACTTAGGAGAAGCTTTGGTCGGCCTATATCAAAATATTTTCGTGCCCCAGAGGTCCATGTTAATTAGTAGTCTCTTGAGGACACCTGCATAAACAGAAAGAGTTAAAAATTTAGGCACATATGACACCTGAATTCTCCTGAGACATACTATTTCTAATACTGAAAATACCTCATCTTTAATATAGTTTAGGTGGGCTTTGTACTAAGATCTTCCTGTCTTCAAAAATTTGGCAACCAGAATTGTCATTCGGGATGGGGGCCACGGGGGGAGGGAGGACCAATTCAATGTGACAAATAACAGAGGCAGAAGCTTGCAGGATCCCTTTGGTTTAGTCATCGTCTTTTCTTTATGCTCTTGGTTCAAGTAAAGGCGTTTATTTGCTCCATTACTGTGGTGTCGGAGTGCCTCATGACCTTCACTGCGCTGGTCTTGTGTGCATCGCACGCTAGTGGTGCTGCACAGTGTGACGGTAGGGAGAAGTGACTCTGATGTAAGGTAATGCTGTTGCATGGTGTGAATACAAGGAGAACTGACTCTGGGGGAGTGCCACATTTTATCTCCCCACTGCAATACAGGCCCTGCCAAGACACACTGCTAATGCGGCTGGTAGAGGGCCACCCAGGTGCAGTGTCTCGGGCTAGCCATTTCAGAGCAGCACGTTATACCAGGAGACTTACCTTGAGTTACACAAGATGATGTCTGACAAACCCATTTGAGGCTTTGTCTGCAGGCTCCCATGTGGCAAAGTCTTAGCCCTAGATGACCCCTCCTTCCTTCTCCCCACTGCGCTCTCCTTACTCTCCTTTAACTAACTAAATTCTCTCCCCCTTGTTTCTTTTTTTTATTTCCTTGTCTGCTTACCTTTCCTCTATTTCTCTCTCCACGTTTCTTTCAAAATGGCAGAATGATGGAGTTTGCTTCTACCAATGGGGAAAATCCATTTATGCTGTGGCAGCTCTGTTGCAAGCAGATCTTTTCAGAAACCCAGTCTGCCACGTGTGAGGCCAAACAAATGAGTCTGTGCAATAGCTTATCACTTTGTCCAGAGCAACAGTCTGATTTCCTGCAGTGTGGCTTTTGCATTGATAAAGCAGCATACAAACTGTGAGATCAACCAGACAGGAGATTCTTGGTAACCTTGTAAACATCAATAACTGTTTAAGTAAGGAG